AGTTTTGACAAAGAATTTAAAACTGTAAGAGTGTGGCATACATCTATAATAAGTTAATTTGAGAGCGATAAAATATTTTATGGTAAACATATCATGAAAACATTTGTTCAGATATTGCCAAATATTTATTTCACAAATATAAATCTTCGTAATTCTACCAGGATCATCTGAATTATTTTAGTGTCCTATTTTGATATTTTACAGATATATAAATTTACAGTTTCTTAAATAAAAGTCCATTTCAGACAGATTGTAAACAGATGGAATCAGTTTCATTGGTTTTTCAAGGTGAAAACAAGGTTAACCACTTCCTTGTGAGTAATGATTTAAATAAAATGAAGGAAAAAGCAGAAAACTTCATAAAGATTTTAATTTTACAAACAATGAAATTCAAAATATTAAAATAATTGTTTTAAAATAAAAATTTATATATTTCTTATGCCCTTTAGTATTTTATAGTTTTTAATTATCATAAAATCCATAATATATCACATAAATTTTTTCTTACATTATAATAAACATATAACATCTAAGGAAATATTATTCCTAACATTTCCATTATTTTAATAAATTATAATTAATGGAAAAATTATAATTAATGTAGTAATTTCATAACATAATATAAATCAGTAAAAAGTAGTAACAACACATATTATAGTAGTAAAACAAAAAAGTAATTGATTTGTAAAGAGCAAATTAATTACTTTTTTTAATTATTACAAAATATACCATCTCATTGAAGTTCAACCTCTTTAGTTCTATTTTAATATAAAAAGTGGAGTATAAAGCTCAGTGAATAAGTCCAGCAGTGGCATATAATTGTTAATTCAATTACATCATTCATGACCATTGGAATGGAAGAAGTTCCTGATGCTTTTGAATGATACAATTTATTTGTATAAAGCGAAAGTCATTCACGCCTTATGAGTTATATATTGTTTACTGCCACAAATAGCTCTTCAGCTCAACTTTTTTCTACTCTGAATGGATGAAATGATTCTGAAACAAAATTAAATTATTTTTGTAAACAAGTCAAAAGACAAGCACTATCAATTTTACCTCAATTTTCATTTTAATTTTTAATTTTTTTTTTTTTTTAAATGCACTAAGCACTCTGACAAAAAAATGAGAGTTGAACGCAAGTCAGATGAATATGATACAAGATATCTCCATTAATAAAAGATTATTTATTATTGAAGGAAATTAGTCGACTGTTCTATATATCATGGACGATAAATATTCAGGACGCAGTCATTATTAAGTTTTTATTAGTTCTGACGTTTCAACCCAAACATGTGGGTCATCATCCGAACGTGTTTCGAGCACTGAAGTTATTCAAGTATTAGTACTTATTTATCACCCAAAAAAAGATTATTATAATCAGAGGTTCTGAACCTCTGCAAAATTTGAGTTGGTAGAATATAAATGTTGTTATTTAAATAAATTATTTTTTTTCAAACAGGTGTACTTAAAAAATTATGAAAATTTATAGAATAATTTATGAAATTCTTGAAGAATATATTCAGATGGTTTAGTTATAATTTTACTGAAGGTATACAATTGTTTATAAAATATTAAAATTTGTCCATTTTATTATTAATATTTTTATGGTTTAAAACAACAGTAATCTTCTTCCAAATTAATAATTCTTTAAGAGAACTAAAATCAATAAATTTAAAGTATATCAATAAAATCATTTGATTTTTTGAAAATGCTGATAATTATGAGTTCTATTATTGTACTGATATTTTATAAAATAATGTTTTTGCCCAATTGTAAATTACACTAATAAAAAAAAATTATAACTAAATAAATTACATTTTAGTCAAACATTGAACAAAGGTTGTAGCTAAAAATTTACATAATATGTTTCCAATTTAATCTAAAAGTAATAAAATTAAATCTGAATGACATGAAAATTTGTTCAGCTCTTACTAATAATTCAACAAAGTAACAATTTAAAAATTTTAATTTAAAATTTATTAGTTTTAATTAAGGGATCCGATTTAGTTTATATAATATTTACTAATTTATATTTATTATTATTTTTTCCTTCTAAAGTTTAAATTTTAAAAATTCTGATTATTATTGTCAATTTTTTTTAATTTCAATCTTATTTATCGATACACAGACACCGTAACTGCATCAAAATGAGATGAACGAAAAATCATATACAATTATACTAAGTGCAGATGTTCTGGTTTCACAGAGAGAAAATTCATCGAAGTACGTAGTGATTTAATTTTATGGAATGTTACCTAATGACTTTTTGGAATAACCCCACCATATATTTTTAAAAAATTATTTTTAAAAAATAAAAACAATTACATAAATTAAAATAAATTTGCTTCAAAATATTTAGATTAATCATTGGTGAATGTAAAAATTATTGATTTGAGTGTCTATTATGAGTAAATGTTAAACATTTTGTTAAGTTTTGAAAGAACTTATATACTACCAAACATTTCAACAACTCTTTATATTTTCTTATGTCTCTTAATATTTTATAATTTTTAATTAATATAAAATCCATGTATCATGTATTGCTCATCCAGAAAAAAACAAGTAAATCTAAAAATTTTTAATGGTTTGATTACTATTTTCCCAAAGAGCAGTCTGTCCTCAACTATAAGACAAACCATTGGGCTCAGTAGGTGTCCAACAACATGTGATATGAAAAAAAACACTCTGGGGGCCAGGGTCCTATTGATAACTTAACTTGGGTCTTTGTCTTAGAAAAAAAAAAAATTGTGTTGTACACCTTATATTCTGGATGTGCAATTTATTTTAGAAATAAGTGTTCATTATGTGCTTAATTACTGTCAACCTTTGAATAAAGTGATATTATTCCTAAAGTTTCATGACTCAATTCAATATATTCTATTAATTTATTAATTTGTTTAATATACATATATATGCTTTTCTAGAAAAGTGAAGTTGAAATCATGGTCATAAATAGTTTTTTTTTTTTCCAAAACATTTCACATTATGTAAATGTAAATTTTTATTTTTAAAATTAAAAGATAACTGTTAGGAAAGAATTTTATTTTGAAAAATTAATCAATAAAACCTTTTAGAATATTTTAAAGTAAAAATTTTGTCTTAAAAAAATCTAGTTGAATTTTACTTTTTTAAAACATTTGGGATTTATTCTACATTAATTCTTGAAATAGAGGAATGAGTTTTTAACTCTTATTAGCTATTGATATTATGTGTAGTATGTATAGGTGAAAAAATTAAATGTGCATTGCTCCTATAAATAGGTGTGATTTCTATTTTAATTTATGGACATTAAATTATATTATATTAATAAATGTTTCTGAATCACAATATGTATGAAGCACAGACGGATCCACGGGATAGGGAGGGAGGCTTTCAGGCTGAAACCCTTCACCTTAGTATAATAAAGTATAACTATGTCATATTTAAAAATTAAATCTAAAAGTATTATTATTCGAGTAATTATATTTAAAAGGACTTCAAGAGTTATTTAAACACCATTTCACATAGATAGTTAGTTTCTTTGTTCTTCTTCCAAAATAATAATCGTTTATATATATATATATATATATATATATATATCCTGGATCCGCTAGTGGTCTGAAGTGCTTAAAATTAGGCTCCTAATTTTTATGTTAATTTTTTTTAGACAATTCCAATAAGATTGTTTTCATTTAGTAGTAAATTTTACAACTTACTAAATAAATTCTTATAATAATAGATATTTTTGATCACTCAAAAAATTGTTTTAATAATAAATAAATTTTAATTAAGAGTTCATAAGCAATAAGTACTTTATTGAAAACTTTGTGTGTATATTTTTTTCATCTTGTAACTAATGTATTCTGCTTAAAATAAATATTGTTGAAGTTATTGATTTTTTTGTTGAAATTTCTTATTTTAATTGAAAAAAAAATGTTATTAGTATAAAAACAATTATTTTAAAGTTGGAGAGATTAAAATAAAAACAAAAACTTTAGAAAACATTTGAATTATAAGAATTTTATTTTTATTTAATGAAAGTTTTTATTAAAAATAAAAATTAATTGTTACTATCAACGCCTGATTTAAATATGTATTTTTCTCTATAAATGATTAAAGAAATGTATTTACAACAAAACAAAATATTATCTCATTTTTGGAAGTGCTGTACAATTTATAATAGAATTATTAGGGTTGTTGATAATTGGATATTTCAAAAATAATTAAATAAAACCAACTCTTTGAAGAAAGTACAATCATGCCATTTTCTAGGAAATGTAACAATTGGTCATATCTTTGAAGATTATGAGTAATGCAAAGAATGTTTTTCCCACACATTAATAATACTACAAACAGAAATAGTGACAACAAAGGAAAAGTAATTGATTAGATAAGATTCTCTTAAATTATATTGGGTTGATCAGAAAATATTAAAATTAATAATGGTACTCATTGTTTCAATATAATATAAATATTCACATTAAATTATAGAACTGTAAATTATAAAGAGTAGAAATACCATGTACAGGTATATTTCTGAAATCCGGTTCTCAGTAATTTTTTTACAGTTACTTATTTCTTTTAATTTATTACATGAATAAAATTAACAAAAAAAAAAACAACTTCAAGTCATTTAAATGCAAATTACTAGTGATAAGTTATTTTCTTGTCTTTTGTGTTTCAAAACTGAAATCATACAATAGAATATTACGTATTGCTTTTAAGAGGAGTTTTAATAATATTATTGGTCATAAATAAGAGACAATTTAACATAAAATTCCTTCCGATAATAGATAATAATGGTTTAATATGTAGAAATGAAAAAGCAGTTCATGTGAAAACAGTATCGTAAAGCTGCGCGCGCAGCTCTCCTGCCTAGTCGCCATATTATCCAGTTGTTTACGTTTAGGTTGGGTTTCAATTTCGACCATGGTTATAGCCTAACTTACGGTTCGTTGTTTGGCCCCAGTGCTCTTTTAAAATGGTCTGGAGTGAAAACAAGAGGTGGTTTTTCTTTGATGTCTCTTAGCACCACATCATTAATGTTCGCTGTAATGGATTCTCTAAGGAAATGGCTTTATAAGCCCAGGGTAAGCTGAAAAGAGAAGTTATGTTCTTTGACCTATTTTAGAAAACTTAACTTATCACCTTGAAAAACGTTCGTCTCCGACGAAACATTGTACAGTTTAAAAGTATGTCTTGTTAAGAATATAGTATGATTCTTTTCCCATGCTGTTGAAATAACTTTTTAGTTATCCTTGATTAATTTCGTTCAGTACACTTCTTTTTTGTTCAAGTGCCATCTTTATTTTATTATCACCAAAATCGAAATGGAGTGTTAACATTTAAAAGTTTTAAGATGAAGGTCCTTGATTTTTTTTATAAGTCTTTTTGTTGAAAAGAAAGGGTGCAAAATGGCAACCTTCATTTCTGAAGGTGACAGTTCCATATCCCACTTCCTTCTAGTTTCAAGTTTAAGATCCCTCATTTTCTTTGTTTTCATTCCCACTTATCTTCATTATCAAGAGATTCTTTTTTATTTATTTACCTTACAACATTTGTCACAATACTCGTGGGTTTGTTTGCTAGGAATGATTCACTAGATTAATTCGAAGATAAAATTGAAGTTAAAAAGGACCCGTTTAATGTAATTATAAATATGTAGCAGAAATAGAAATTACAGAGAAGTTGCCAAATGACACATGTTATTAGGCATGCTATTTTGGGTCCTTTAATTTGGGTTTCTTATTGATTATTTGTTGATAAATGCTTTCATTTCATATAATAACCAATGTGTGACAGTTTTATAGCTGTTGATAACATGATCACTTTGTACTTACGTTAACTATTAAAGAAAAATAAAAGTTGTTAATGTTTATTTATAATTACAATATATTTTCAACTAGTCAATATCATCCGGGCCGTAACTTTGTAATTATAATCATTTTTTTTTCTTGAATCCTTTTGGCCTAGATTATATAAAAGAGAAAATCCAGCCATAGCTAAATGGGAAAATTAACTGTGACCATACCATTGATGCAATTTTACTAGAGAACAAAAAAAAATATAGTGAAACATTTTTCAATATTTCAGTTATTACTGGTCTTGACCTGATTCTCAAAGAATATTACAGAGAGTCATGGCTCCCTGCACCTAACCCAGATTTTCAAAAGCAGCATCCTGTAGAATTGACAGAAAGTTGTTCTTAATTGCAGAAAGGTCTTTTGGGAGAGAAAAGTGAAAGTTTCTATTCTGGGCACATTAAAATGTTTTCTCTGAATGTTATATATATATTTTTTTATCATTGAACTGTTTGACCAAAAAAATTTTTTTTTATTATTAATAATCAAATATATATAATAATTAATATTTCCACTATCTAATTATTTCCTCTGACGGTTTTTTTATTATTTATAAACATCTCTTTGATGACAAATTTCAATTTATAGTTAATTAATTATGAACTCAGATTATTATTCAGAAATTAATTAATTTATTAGTGTCACCAAAATGGGGTATCATAGTTGATCAAAATTATTGCATAAAGTGTACCACATAAATAACTGATGATCTCAGTTAATGGTAGATAACCAAGAATTCAAAGTAATTGCATTAAAATAATGATAAGTTAACACTATTTTATTTTTTTCCAATCTTAATTTTTAGTACAAACATGTATTAAGATTCTCCTCTTGATTTTTGTAAATGCAATTAAACCTGAAGGTCTCTTGTTAAAAAAATAAATAAATAAAAACATTTTCAGCTTTTATCATTGAAATGTATATTACTAACTATTAAAGTTCAATATTTATGGTTGTAAGGATTCGTTTATGCTTAAAAATATAAAAAAATAAACAAACAAAAATATTTTTGTAAATATTATCACCCTATAGATTATTTTATGTTTGTTTATTTTTTATTCAAACTGCCAGGAATTTGCATGTAAAACCTGGTAACTCAAATAAGTTTTATTATTATTTTATTTTCATTGCAAAATACCAATAGTAAAGCCCACTTATCATTACTCCATTGATTTGATAAGGGTCATTTTCAAAATTAACAATTTTATACAGCTCATAAGTTATGTTGACCAAATACCATAAAATGTTACCATAACACATTGTTCTAACATTTTTATATTCTAGTTCGATTCTCCAAGTTAAAGTGTTTTTTCGCACTTTTTTTGAAGCAAATTTTAAATATGTGCACTCAGTTTTTTTTTTTATTAAAACTTAATGAAATATTGAAATGATACAACATGGAAGATATTTAACGCAGCTTCACTGTTAATTCATGAGAATATTTCATTTTATTACGGGTTATCATTGAAATTATGATTTTTTAAAATTTTTCATCACTACATGTGAAATCACTGACAAAATGGGCTTAAGTGTGATGAATGTTACCTACAGTCCATGAGTGTTGTATTCATAGGATAAAATTTATGACCAGTAGCATTCCTGTTAAATTTTATAAATGTCCAATTACGAGATTAGGATTTATGAGATTGTGCTAGATGAGTAGAAAACTAAATTGATGTTCAAAATACATTGAAGTAAGTTATTAGAGAATCACTCATTACAATGAATTAAAATACTCACCACGTTATGCTGGTTTTGAACATTTATTTCACTACAGTCAAAAGCGAAATGGTTACTCTTAGTAAAATTAACAGAACTAAAATTACCATAAATATGTCTCTAACACTGGTGAGATTACTAAGGTAAGACTCATGACAGACTTTTGCGACATTATTTAAGCTTAAACTGACATTTTAACATTTAATTTTTATGGATGTTTTGTATTAATCAATTTTAATCTTTTTCCTGATAACATATTATTCCAATATTTTGTGCCTAGATAAATTTATTTACACAAAAATAATTGAAGATATTATAACCTGGTTAAGAGCAGATAATAATCGAATCTTTAACAAAAATTATATATATTTTTTAAGTTTATTAGTTTGAATGTTGGAAGTTTGTTATCTTGTGTTAGTTTATTATCATTACTTTTTCTTATCTGTAAAATTTAAACTCATCTTCTAAAGTTATTAAACTGAAGCGTTATGGGCTGCGATGTTTTATAAATTTTGAAAATGACTTATAATATTTTTTTTTTTACTCCATTAAATAAGGCTCAATAGATTTTTTTATTTAATTATTAACTGGAGACATTATGTGTGACCTATAACAAATTTAAAAATAATCAGCTTTGAAATTATCAAATAATTCTACTATTCTATAATAATAGATGTTCTAATGACTGTTACACAAAAATAATATATGATGGTTTCTAAATTGTTTTGTGGCTAATTATCTTAAAATTTTATTAAATATAAAACAAATTTTTTTCTTATTTATAATTTCAGGTTCCAGTAAAAAAAAAAAAAATCATAGTTAATCATCTTGTTTGCAATATACTTTAAAATTCTTTCCTTACAGAGAAAGTTATAACTTAATTTACTTTAAAAAAAAAATATTCTTTATAACATACAGTATATTTTTTATGGTTAAGAAATTCTTAATTGTTATTTTGTTAGTATTAGTGATATTTCAAATTAATATTAATTTGATACTTTCCATGAAAGTAATCTTTTTTTGAGTTATTACTCAAAGCCTGCCTTACATGGTCAATATTATTGAAAGCCCCTCTCACAATATTATGTCAGTTATAATGTTACTTTCTCCAAAGACAAACTTGTTTCTTATTTGTTTATGTGATCTGAAGTAAAGTTTATTTAGTTTCTTGAATTTAAAACATTTTTTTTTATATCTAATCAGTTGAGATGGAGAAAAAATATCCGGAACATCAATAAAGATAATCTAAGTCTAATTTACCATCATAAATAAATAGAGGAGACTATGAAATTTAGATAAAACATATTTTATAAAATCCTTCTTGTTTTAATTTTATGTTTCTAATTATTTAGTATATTAAAAAGTAATAATTATTTTAAATTAATGTTTCAGAGAGATGACACTTCCCTGCTTGCTCAGTTCTTTTTTGCGGATGAAGCTCTTAATCGAGTAGCTGCAGAACTCGACAGCTTCGATGGGAGGAAAGATCCACGTCGGTGTACGACCCTTGTCAACAATCTGAGGCAGTGTCAAGATACGGTAAGTAAAATAAAAATATTTTATTTATTTATTTTCCTTTTGTTGATTAATAAATTCATCATCAAGATGGTCACTATCTTATCATGCTTGGGATTTATATTATCAGTTGCAGCAGCTCCTTAGAGTGAAGACTATCTCTCATAATATTCCTTTGCTCATTTGTCAATGTTCAATGATTATCACCTTCGTTAGTGCGCACTAATTAAACAAGCTTAAAATTTATCTACTTGTTTGCCTGATACCCTTTCTCATTATTTCTAAGGAGGACAAAGTGACTAAAGTGATTATCAATTTTCTTCACAAAGTCTTATAAAATATATAGCTAGCTCACAACTCTGCCGTTCCTTACTACTTTTTTTAAAAATTATTATTATTCTTTGTTTTTAATCCACCAGTCAAATATTTTTAAAGTAGAAGTATTTTGTTGAGCGGGTGCTGATGACCTGAATGTATTATGCCCAAACGTCAAAACAACCAACCAACAATATATAAAGATGGTATATTTGAAAATGGCCAAAACATTACAAATAAATAAAATAAAAAATATGTTGTGATTGAATAAAGGTTTTGGTTGTTTATAAAAAGTCTTATTTTTTTATATATTTTTTTTGGGTTGAATAAAAGGGCCCTACATTTTAATTATTAATTAATTAATTTCCTAAAAATAAAATTTGTAGTATTCCATTGTTATATTATATTATTATATGTGTAAATAAATGAATAACCTAATAAAACTTATTTATTTTTTTATTTAATTGATTGTATGCCAAAGGCCACCAATAAAATACGTTTTTATAGTTTATGTTTCTGCCTCTTGAGCAATTTTGAAGTATCTGTAAAGATATTATAATTAACCATCTATCGTTAAAATATTTCAATTTTTAACTTTCTGTATATACATTGTCGTAATCCTGTATTGTTATTATGTTTTAATTTAGTTGTTAATAAAATAAATTTAGGTTATATTGGTTTATATTAATCCAATTACCTATCTAATAAATATAAAAACTATGCATAGAAAATTAATTTATTTAGTAATTACTTTTTTTATTCTATAATCTATAATAACTTATTGCTTTTATTTTGCATAGTATTCTTTAAAATATTTATCTATATTATTTTTATATAATTGTAACTTGGCATATTTTTTTTTTTTATTATATGATTAGCCAAGGATTTTTGGCTTGTTAATTATATTTTTCTTTCTCCTCCATTCAGTTATTTAAAAAAATAAAAATAAAATGTACTGAACCACATGTTTTTTACTTAGCACAGTTAATTGTTAATTTTCAAAGAGTCAGAAGCTTACATAATAGTTTTAGGTTTTCCTCTTTAATATTCTTTATACGGAACAAATAGAGTTATAAATGTAGGTTAAACGTACTAGCTATTTATCATTGCTGTCCCTCTTTTTAATTATTTGTTTTTTCATCGCTTTCTTCCCTGTGTGTGCTATATCTTGTTATGTTTCCTTTTATCAGTTTGCCTTTCAGATTGTTAAGTAAACCTTATATTGGGGTAAATAAAACAATAGCCTCCTTAATGTTACATCAGAAGACAATCTTATTGTCTTCTGTATCTGCTCTTGCTGGCGCCTAATATCATGGTTTAGGATCTGTCTTTCAATAGTAACCCACTTTGATTGAATCTGACGCAAGGATTGTATTGCACCTGTTATAAACACGATATTAATTTGAACTTTATAGTTGTGATAGTGCATGTTAAAAAAAATCTATTCAATTTTTTTTTTTAGTTAAATACTAAATTTGTTAACTTGCAGAATTATTAATTTAAATACTCGTGTAAAAGTTATGATTAGTTAATGTTTCTAATCTCTCTTGAAATGAAGTCATATAAATTAAATAAATAATTCAAATATATTATGAATAATAATTAATTTTTATTCTCACCTCACCTCTTTAGATATCATTTTCATTAAATATTATTATTTTCATGGAATAAAGTTGGGGGAAAAGGGAATATTGAAATTGAAAACAAAAATACGTTTTTAAATTTAATTTTTGTTTATTTATTACAAACCACAACCTAAATAATGTAGTCTGTAAAACTTATCTTTGTAATTAATATTACATTATTAGTCTTTGCATCTAGGTTTATTTATTTTCAATTATGCATTCATATTGTTCTTTAAGAACTGACAATAGACTAAAGAATAGACAATAGATACAAAATCTTTTTCTTATATATTGTTATCTTTTAATTATTTCTAAACTGGAAATCAATTCTATCCAACTTTTTTATGTTATTCAATTCTTAGATGAGTAATAAAAACTATATAGTTCAGTTTATTTATTTATATATATTGTTAATATAGATGCTGATTATATATATAGTTAATTATAATCAGTTGTCATTGTTATAATAACCCTGATATCAGCTGTTATATATCCACCATTATCCCAAATGTCACCTGGTTTTCTGCCATCATGTAAACAATGGTACTGTCTCACTTTGTATCACATCATGACAGAAATTGTCAATGTGTTAATGAGGTTTAAAAAATTAAAAATAACTTCGCAGGTAATTAGTAATGTAAATATATCTAACTTTTAGATAAATTACAGAATAACTACTTTAGTCATGAAGTTTTTTATGTAGTTCAAGACCATTGTATGTACGTAGTTATGTCTATTTGTTATCTACTTTTATTAGACTCATCGTATTTGCTTTTTAGAATTTCGAACCAACCCGTGCCCTTCAGCTCAAGGACTTACTCTGATATATTAGAATGATATTTCTTTTTCCTTCAAACATCTTGAATATTATTCAAATCTGTAGTTTGATTTGAAAATAAATATTCCATGTTTTGATTTAATTGAGGGAGAAATTCATCAAAGTACTTAATGGATTAATTTTCTGAAATTTCACTTTTTTCAATGAATTCATTAATACATGAGGCATAGGAGAGAGCAATAACAGTTGTGATATATTTGTAGTAATCAACTTATTTTTTATCACATTATTTCATTTTATTTTCCATTTATTTATTGCTTTAAGCTCTGATGCTACAGGACTTTACAAGTTTGCAAATACCAGAGTGTTGGAAAAATGAAGAAAAATCGGAAATTTTGTTAATTCGTGTAAAACCTAATGATTTTATGATGTGTTAGTTTGTTTAGCTGTTTTTTTTTTTAAACACAAGGCTTTGGGTTTGGAAATTTCCAATTAGCTCACAAGATTAAATTTATGCCTTTTTTTTTTTAGGTATTGCTCTTTCATAAAAATATAAAAAGTTTTTAAAATATAGATACCCCATACCAGTTATTGAAATTGTTTTTCTTGCATTTAACATTAAATCGCCTTTTCATTTAGTAAATCAAGATTGTTATTTGTTCCTGTAATAATGGTATTCTTATCAGGTAATATATTTCAAAGGCATTAATAAATTATTTGATTTTTAAAATATATATTTTAAAAAAATCCTTCATTAAAATGTTAATTCTAATCTATTAAACAAACAATAATTAACTAGACTATTTAATCTATGTCTACACAAAAAAGATAATTAATACCTTATTATGATTTATTAACAGTTAATAAGTTTTTTACAAAATGTACACTTAAATAGAGATAAGAGAATCTCTTATTATTTCATTTTTTTTTTTATTCTTCCTTCTTTATTAAGATTTGATTCATATTTAAATTAGTTTAATATTATAATAGTAATTGAAATTTTGGATTGATCCTTCATAATATAGGCCCATCCAAACATATGTTAATAAATATACTAATATAATATTGAATGGACTAATGTTAGGAACTGCCAGTCCAATTTGATTTGATATATATATATATATATATATATATATATATATATATATATATATATATATATATATATATATATATATGTACATACATGTATTTTATTATTTTTCCTATGTGGTAATCTCACATAAAGGTCGTTTATTTGATTCACCTTCATACTCCATGCCTTACAGGCATACTACATGAAATTAACAATAGTTTACACAATTTTTTATTGTTAGTTTTACATGTTATGAAATTTTAGTCAAAAATCATAAATAATAACAAATAAAAAGTAGAATAAATTTATATATATATAACAAAGTAAGAACAGAAAAAACTAAAACCGAATTAGATAAATTAGACTCGAAAAATCAATTTTAATTAGGTAAAATAAATAAATATAAAATTAATTAATTAGGTAATCAAAAGAAATTACCTTCACTGCCCATCACTTGTAGTAGTCAGTAGTAAGTCAAAGTCGATAGATCTAATAAATAGACAAAAATCTGTCTTGCAATCAAAAACAAATTTTCTTCTGTCTGAGGCCAACTTCAATTTTCGATAATTATACTTTTTATTAATTCAAATCATTTATCATATAGTTCACAGTCATGTATTATATGTTTAAAATTTTGGATTTGTCTTTCTAATAAAAATGTTTTGTTTTTTTACAAATGTAAATGGGTAGCATGTATCAATAAATAATATTTTCTTTAGCAACAAATTATTTCGTGATTGGTTAATAAAATTTACAATGAGAAAACCACCACTGGGAAATCACAGTTTCATTTATGTGTTGACTTCACTTTTCCCTGCAACAATGAGAAATGAGTGTTCTAGGAAATATACAACTGTTATTATTAAAAACCTTTTTTTTTTTTTTTTAATGGCTTATAATATTTGTATTATATTATTTATAGCTTGTAATATTTGTATTATGTTTTATATAATTTTAAATGATAATTAACAATCATTGTAGGCTCAAGTCTCGTAAGCATTGAAATATTCTATAAATTCTGATAATTAAATAAAATTGTTTAGCAATTTATTTGTTTTGTTTTTTAATCTGTAAAATTTGATGCAATTTAAGAACTATAGTTATTACACATCATCTTTCTTCACTTATTACTTTCTTCAAGAAATAATATTTAATTTATTTTCCTTTCTTTTATAACATTCCTTTCTATCCATATCATTTACTAATCTTTAGATTAAAGTCCTACTTGGTTTGTCAAGTGTCATAATTTTATCTATTAGGAAAAATTTTGTGACTTATCTTAGATAATAATTTCAATAAGTTTTGTGGGAATTGCTCGAAGACCCTCTGTATCTATGATAAGAGTCATTGCCCTTCCTATTTGCCTCGTCACTGATTAGTAGTCCTTATAATCTTTCAGATATGTTTTATTTACTTTTAATCTATTTATTATCTGATAAGTGCATTATTCTCTTTTAAAAAAAAAATGAAAAATGTGTGTTTTTTTTCATACTACTATTTCTTCTCCAAACCTTGGCTAAAGGACAAATTAAAAAATATAAACAAAAAAAAAATAATTTATAGTAGTTTTTTTTGTATGCTTTGGGACACTTTTTTCTTTTATTTTAATTTTTAATATTTTTAGGTTTATTGAAAAAAAGTCCCTATGTACATATTTTAATGGAGCTGAACTTTTAAGATAGTTTTTGTGAATTTCGATCTACTGGTACTGGTATCGGTGGAGGAACTAATCTGGCTAGTGGGCCATATGGTCCTTTCTGCTAACTCCTGATGGCTGGCTACCTTGAGGTTGCTGCCGCGTATTTACCTGAGAGGAAATGTCAAGATTCATTTTCTAGGCCTGCTGAGAAATTAAAATTAACCGACCCAGGTGGGAATTGAACCCACAATGTTCAGAACTATTCCTATGCCCCATCGCTCTCAGTCATCCCGTCCTAATTTATTGTTAAAAAAAAACAGTAAGTGTGCTCAAATGACACAAGCCCTTTTCTATATCAAACATTGTTTCAATTTCATATTTTTCTAATTTCACAAAAGGGAAATTCCTTAAAATTTTTCAGTGATTTATAAAATGTCACTTAATGGATGTTTTTTTGCTGAAAAACTGATCATATATGAAAATTCAAAGAGCTTTAAGTTGGAGACTATAGGTGTGTCATCAAAATTTGTTTTAGATTGTATCATATAATTTTCTATTTTTGAAAACCACCACAATTTAAATTTTAATGAAATTTAACAACTTTTTTTCACATAATTCAAAATTTTACATAACATGTTCTTCCAACTATCACAATTTTACTTTCCTACCTATACTAGAAAAGAAAAGTATTGCGATTGGATCAAGTTTCCGATGTGCGGTTTTAGACGGATCTGTAAGTTTCAGAGCCCTCTAAGTCTGAAAACCACATTTTCAGCCATTGGTCTGTCTGTGCCAAAATTATCTCGGGAACTAATAGACCAATTTTGTTGCTTCTTTTTTTATGGTTTTGACTACTGTTGCCTTTGACACAAATTGGATGCTCCCTGCTCAATAGTGGCTACACAATAAGTCAAAAACATTATTTTCTATTTCCTAAAATTTTCTAATTAATGTCCTTTCAATTTTTGTAATGTACTAAATTTCTGAGAAATTTGCACATCACACAAGTTTCACTATTTCCTCTACTTTTAACAGAAATTATTGTCTTGACAAAATTAGGCTATGGCAAAAAGGTTTTGATTAGCAATATTAAAGTGTATTGAATTTTTTACACTTCCACAAGCCGGTTTATATTGCTTTAGTTTATCAATGAAATTGTACTTAAATCTTTTCTTTAATCAATTTTCAGGAAAATAAATCTAATTTATTATTTTTATATACATATTGTAAAGATATAAAAAAATTTCCGAAATAGTTAGGAAAGTCGTGTGAATGGACACTCCAGTTTTTTTATATTTTTGTAGATTAGCAATGTGATTAAAATTATCCTAATAGTCTTCTCTATTTTTTTTAAATATTTATTTTCAGGTTTTGAACATCTGTAACCGTATCATGGACGAGATGATTCCAAATGAACGAGCTAGCAGAGACTTCAGAGTCAAGTTTCCCGATGATGTTATGCAGGACAATCTTGCCGGGCAGCTTTGGTTTGGTGCTGAGGTATTCAATATTTATTAGTTTATCATAGTTTTTATTTTTATAATATTTTTATTCTATTGTTTTTGAATTGAAAAATTCTTTAGGCACTTTATTTTATTTATTGCGGGTATTGAATGAGACTGAGCCGTCACGGTTGGCTATGTAACGCATTTGGGTAAAGTTAGGTTGAGTCAATTAATTTTTGCATTTGGATTCAAATATCTCAGAAACAAAAAATCGGACCTGGGAAATATTCAGCATTTCATCCTCTTTGCAATGAGCTATAATTCAAAATTTTGACATGACGCTGAGTTAGAGACTCAGAAATGGAAAAAGATAGTACCAAAAAATCAAATAATAAGGACTTGAACATTTTGAACATTTGGACTAACATATCTATAACGTATATACCAAAGAGAATTCAGATACCAATTTATAGAAGTCAATATACATATTTTTTTCATTAGCCATTAAAATAAGAAATTAAGTGTTTCTATTCGATTTTCTGTTGCACTATCGAGTGTTTCGACAAATTTTGGTTATCATAAACCTATTGTTTCATTTTTAGTTTTAGGATTTTTTTTACAAATAATGGACTGATAAGTTGAGTTCTTTGAAATGTGGCATGTAAAAATGTTAATCTGGGATTTTCCTGTTAGCACTCATAAATAAACTAAATAATTCTTCTGAAGAAATGTTTTGCTAAGAGAAAGTATTTATAATTCATCTCTTTATACTGAGGAAAGGTCCCCAAGAAATAAACGATTCTGACAACTTGCCTGTCATTTATGAGTAACCCGCCTCCCCTTCCCACCGATCCACAACGCCTTCAAACTCAAATTTGCATTCATATTAATGAATATGAATCTACAATTAGTATAAGAAAAGTATGGCTACTAGATGTTATTTTAATTTTATTCTAAAGGGACATTGTCCTAGAATAATAATGATTCAAATCCTAGAAACATATGATTCAAATGATGATTAGTCAGAGCAAAGTTTACCAGAGTAATTTATACACAATTATAATTTAAATATTATTACTTTGTAAACAAAAAAAATTTTTATTTCATATTATTAATCCGTCCTTGATGTTTTCACTTCTATCGTGTGATCTTAAAAACATACTTTAGTTTTTTTTATTCTCTTGTTTTTAAAATATTTTTTATCCTCTAATCTCAATGAACTATTACTATAGTGCTTGGCTGCTGGATCTAGCATCATGAACCGCGAGGTCGAGAGCGGTGCGATGAGACCCTTAGCCAAGCAGCTGACCAAGTCACTCGAGACGGTGCGCTGCCTCCTCAGGGAAGCTGCGTTACACTCGGGGCACTCTCACGAGATCCAAACCGAGAGGCTAACTCAATCCCTTAAGGTAATTGTATAACTTATATATATATAATATTTTATAGATTAAAAGACTTTTATAATCTTTTAATTGATAAATTTATCGCTACTGTGTTTGTTCCTTGAAATATCTAGATATTCTTTCATTCTTCTCTGTATAAGGCTTACTATTCCCAGATGCCTTAGCTGCCAGAATAGATAGATACTAAAATATGCCACTGGACATAATGGTGACAAATTGGAGTAGGGTTTCTAGTGCTTTTTGCACAAATTATTTATTGAAAACTTACTTATGTACACCCACTCAGTCGTATTTATAATATAAGTAGTTTATTGGGATTTATGAGGCTTTTGTATTTATATTTATTGTGATCTCTTTTGATCTCTCTTTTTTCTTTCACTTATCTATATATATATAATTTATAGTAAGGAAAAGTATTTCGATCACGATAATTTTTAAATCTGAATTTTCAAAGGAAATTAACATTTTGAGGTCTCCTTTATTCAAATAATAATAGTTTCACAAAATGGTCTCTGTGTGTATGTGAACAGACTAGCTGAAAAGCGAAAAGTTGCATAAAACTGATATTACGTATTAGAGGTTTGTATATGCCAGGAATGTTCAACAACTTTTTTATCAAAATCGACTAACATATTGTCACTTTATATAATCAATTTTACAAGTTTCTTGATGGATTTTGATTAAATTCATTATACTGGTGTAAAATTTAGCAGTTTTTAATATAATGTAGGTCTCATTCTCATTAATGTTCTGCAACAGAGCTTAAATGCCTAATTTTCAAAATTTCTTTATTTTTTTAAAAAATAATTTACCATTCCACATAAAATCATATATAAAATATGAAAGAATTTGATAATTAACTAAATAAGGGATTGTAATAGAGAATCAAAGAAAATCTGAGCTTGGCTGAAAGGTTAGAATAAGCTTCCATACGTAACACGTGCTTAATAAAATAGATGCTTCGATAATATTATGTACGTATGCATGTGCGATTATAATAAATGTGTTAGTATTATTTAATATATATTGTATAGATTAATATATAGTAATATAAAAATTAAAAATGTGTGTCAATGCTGAAACAAATAAAACTGCTCATAATGAAATATAAATAAATATAGCAGCCTTCTTTATCAGAGTCACTCTTCTTGGAATAATTAAAATATACAGTCATAAAAGGAAATGGTTAGTGAAAAAAAAGATGGATATAATACATATAGCTGTGAAAAACATATAGTAATTGTTTTAAATAATATTTTATATCTATGTTGGTACAAAAATCTTCATAGATAAAATAATAAATTAGAAGATAACATTTTGTGAATTTTAAACTTCTATCTCATGATTGTTTTAGCTTCAGTCAATTTTGTTAAGAAGAAAGATACATTGAAAATTGATTTTTAAATTTCCATTTGAAGTAAATCAAATTTAACTTCTAGTTCTGATAATTATTTCATATTCTGCATTTTATTTTATTATAAAATTAAATTACAAAAACTCCCAAAATTTATTGGAATAAATTATACTAATTGAAAATTTATGGTTTTTATAGCTGTTTGACAGGCTACTGGCGGAATTCGAGTTGGCCTATGTCAGCGCAATGGTTCCCGTGAAGACTGTTCAAGAATACGAACTCCAGCAGTGTGTCGTTGTTCTCTTCTCTGAGACACTTCAAAGGTGGGCTTATATATTATTTTATAATATTTTTTGTAAAATTATCAAAATATTAGCTAAAAAATTAATTTTTGAATGATTAAGGAATCATATAAGGAGTTAGCAGTCCGTTCGAAGGGAGTTTATAACTTGTGATGCTTGGTTCAGTTATCCAAGAGTGGACAATTGAGGAATTTGAAATAAGGCTTATTGTTTTTCAAGAAAAAAAAAATGTATTATTAATGAGTTGTGAACGAAATTAATTTAATAAAATTAGCAATAGGATTTTCTTTTTTTAGCCAAAAAAAAAAATACTTAGTTGATAAATAATAACTTAAAAATCTATAAAAAGTAAAGTCAGAAAACAGTAATAAAAACTATAAGTAAATTTTTTTTCTCGGCTCCTAGGGTGCATTCCCAAGAACCCTCTGCCATGGGTCTGATATTTTTCGACCTAATATCACCAGAAAAAGTTTCATAAAAATCGGTGACTTCAAGTCTGTATTGTAAGTTATCTGTTGCTTGAACATAGTTATTATAAAGTATGTAGCTTCTCCGATCGTGTATGTCGATTGGACTTTTTAATTATTTTGTCCATGTTAATACATATGTAACATGTTTCACTTACATTGCTTATAGTTTGAATTTATCAGAGAGGAAAAGCATAGACATCTAATATGAGAGTTCTCTTCAATTTGATTATATTATTATGATGGTGGGGTAGCTCAGTGGGTAAAGCACTGACTTCTCAATGCTTAATGCTCAAGTCCAGCTGTGGCAGTTAATTATTTATTCTGTTACATCAACTATGGATCGACTCTTGAAAGAAAGAAGATATACCTAGTCCATATAAAGTGAGTATTCTTATTCAAGGGAGAAAACCTGGCAGTTTAGTATGATATCTATCCAATCGCCTTCCTTCATAACTGTTCTCCTTGTAACTTTAATTCCAAGACTTCATGGGTTGTAGTGTGACAGTTTTTTTTTTTAATATATTAATTCTGATTCTCTTAACCCAGTCCTCATAATATTTATTATTGATTTATAAATTTTATATTTTTAGGGCTTTGAAGATGGGCCTGCTGAGCCAGGAAATGGTCGATCAGTACGATCCCGCCCTGATGTTCACCATTCCTCGGCTGGCGATAGTTAGTGGTCTGTTTATGTTCCCTCATGGGCCTCTGTCCCTCACCTCACCCTCAGAGATGTCCGAAATGTTCAGGCCATTTTGGGTATGATATTTATTATTTTTTTAATATTTTAGTATTTCTTTAATGTGTTATATCGATGACGATGGAATGATTCCTCATAACTGGACATTTACTAAAAAGATCTTTCTGTTAGAAATTAAATCTAGATTTCTTATTATAGTTTAAGAATACTGCTACCCTGCAGTAAACCCATCTAGCGCACCTGAAATACCTGAAAAATAAAATCAAGGAATTTATTTAACCTGAAAAATTTTGTGGCATTCGTGAAAAACAGTGCTATTCTATGAACTGTAAGTAAAAACATCAAAAGTCAGGACATTTTATAAGTTAGAGGGCACTAGAAAGAATTAACCGTTATGATTCAGAATCACCATTGGTCACAAAAAGTTACATGATGTACTGTTAAATATAATATAATAGCCTGAAAAGTAGATATACTAAAGTTCTAGGTTATTCTCCATTTATTGAGAAAAATCCAGGTATAGCACATGATTATATAAAGAAATAGTTGCTTATTCAAAGTTTGTTGTTCCTCTGGTGGCCCTGTCTGAAACTGTGCCAGAAGTCTTCTGTCATCCCCTTCAGGATCCATGCCGCTTTCTCTTTCAGGAAGAACATGGTGAATTTAGTAGTGTTGATGATTCAGTAAGTTAGCTTTAAGTCTGTGAATCAGTTAAGTTTTCCAGTATGAGTCAGTTCTTCAAGAAGAATCTCTATATTCTCTTATCAGTGTCGTTGTATTGTTTTGTCAATAAGTGTTGGTGAATTTACTTCATGTATATTGTGAAGTATCATATCTGTTTTATGTAATATACAAATCCTCTGGTAAGGATTGTATTTTAAAATGATAATTTTAATTGTAATGCGTTGTTAATAATCAGTAAATTGTTAAATTTAGTTTATGTTTTAATTGAAACTGCAAGAAAGATGTAAAAATTTTTTTTTTTCAAAGAAAGTTGTTTTGGCTTTACTTTGATAACTTTTCTTTTATTACATATTTAGTAATATTCTTCTATATGTTTTAGACCCTACTTGTAAGAATAAGAGAACTACTCTGGACGTTGACAGAAGATGAGTTGTTGACGTTAGAAAAAATGTTATGTTCCTCCGAAGATCCAAGTCTTCCTCCTCAATCCCATCACCTTTGTCCTGATACCAGGTTGTTGTTTTTAAAGTATATAATTTATAAAATAATAATGTATTAGATGAATAAATCATTTTTTTTTAATTTTATTTCTTTTGCTTTCTTGGCTTAAAGATGTAGTAGAATCATCTATGTTTTATGTAGAGATGAGAATCTTAATTTGAGAATAATTTTGTGAAAACATTTTGATTGATAAAAAACAAACTTTATTCTGGTACTAGGTCTATTAAGAATAATAAATATGTACAAAGTAGAAATTTTATTTAAGTTTATTTTTTTATATTTATTTTGGTTTCACCTTATTATTACCTATATATGCAGTATTTAATAAGAGTGAGTACTGCGAGCATGAAAATTTTTGAATCTGAGTTTTTGAAGGAAATACATGTTTAGAGTTCTCCTGAGTCCAAATAACAGGGTCCTGCAAAATGGTCTGTGTGTGAGCGTTTTTTTTTTTTTTTTTTTTGGGGGGGGGGATCTTTCATAAGACGAAGTGCACAAAAAGTCACACAACAGTGTAAGATTCCTACTCACTAAAAAACCTCCTCCCAATTCTTCTTTACCACCCAACGGAACTGTTGTCAAGCATTACTTCGAGGAGGGAAGAAGGGCTATATACCTACTTCTTCATTGGACATCTTATTCAAGCTAAGCCATTGCCTGGCCTCTCCTTTCTCGCTCCTGTGCTCTGAGCCTTCTGCCGATTTATGTGTGTGCGTGTGTCTAGTTCAGTCTAGCACAAAAATAAAAAGTCATATTAAAATAAAATTTCATATTTAAGGTTTGTATATGCCTTGGATGTTTCAGCAATTTTTTCTCTGAAATCAGCTCATCGGAAGTGGCATTTTATATAATCGGTTTAACACATTTTTACATCTTTCTTAACGATTTTGATTAAATTCAGAATATCAGTTATTATTAAGCAGTTCTTAATGTAATGTTGGTTTTTTTCTCATTGATGTTCTCTAACAGGGCTTAAATGGCTAATTTTCAATATTAGCTTCCTATAAAGTACATTTAATTTTTTTTTAAAATAATTAACCATTTCATATTAATCTTTGATATAAAAAATAGTTAAATATAAAATATGAAAGAATTTGATAATTAACTAAAGAAGAAATAAGGGATCTTAATAGATAATAGTTGAAATGGAGAAATACAAGTAAAATGTGCTTAATATCATACGGACCCTGACAATATTATGTACATGTACACATGTGGTTCTCATAAATGCTATCGTTGGTATTATTTAATATTTAATTGTATAGATAGAAAATTAAAATTTGTATAGATAGAAAATTTAAAATTTGTATATATAAGGGGAATTAAACAAATATAATACCCAAAATGAAATGTAAATAAATATAGCGTCTATAATTTTTACTTTCACTTCCCTTTTGACTGAAAATACTTAGTTCTGCTAAGGAGGGATAGTAAGTGAAAGTCGTGTGATACACTCAACAGATTTTTTATCATTTTTTTATGAGCGTTTGGTTGTCATTATTATTATTATTTTTTTTTTTTTCCCCTTTAAGTATATTAATTTTTAAAAGTTCGTGGGCGGGGTGGCCGAATGGGCTAATGCATGTGCACAGCACCACCATTGCCTGGCAACCTGATATAAGATAAATCATATAAAAATAGTCACGAGTTCGCGTCCCGGTGCCAAGGCGTCTTTTAAATCCCCGCCCACACCCTCTGGCCAGGGAAAACCCCTTATAGCCTTAACGGCGAGGAAGGGGAGGACCCAAAAAAAAAAATTTTAAATTGTTTTTTGTAACAGTTACAACTTAACCAACAACTACACAAAACTGCAACATTTTGTATTAACTTACAGTTTTCTACAAATATATATATATATATATATATTTTTAATATATGTACTTATTAATTAATAATTGTGTCACATCAAGGAAATCCAATATGCCCCAGGCTGGTTTTGTTGGTACTAGAAATGGGATGGATTGGAATTTATTTTGAAAAATATAAGAATTTAAGGTTTTTTGACCCAGGGATTTTATATTTTAATCTATTCTTTTCTTTTTGGTTTTTCTTGAAGTGTAAAAACGTTTAACTGGTTGAATCATTGACTGTTATTTGAGGTACTTAAAGCTTTTTTTTTATAATCATACTAGTACATCCTAACTGTAATTTTAGTCTATTTTTTTCTTATTTATTTAGTTTTAAGTATTTCCTTTGATTAATTAAAATCATTTAATTTTTCCTAGCCAAGCTGAAGTCGATGAAGATAGAAAATTTTGGACGGAAAACGTAACAGGTGAAGAGAGTAAAGAGAGCGGCGCAGGAGACATCCCAACCCCAGATGGAAACAAAGCTAGTCAGATACTTCTTACCAACCATCCTGAGGGTCACCAGAGTCCTGAGGTTTTAATTATTTTTATTATTATTATTTATGTTTTTGATTTCGGTTTCATTTATTCATCATTGTGTATGTTGTATGTATGTAACTGCCAGATAAACAGGATACAGAACTCTCAACGCAAGTTGAAGATCCTGTGATAGTCACATCTTGATATTGATTGATTATATTTTATCTTATATTGCTTATAACTGAATAGTTATTCTGAAACTAAACATAAACCAATAATACAACATATTTAAGTCTATTTGAGAGAACAATTAATTTTTTTTATCACGTCTTTCCTTTGTGATATGATGTAAGTAAGGAAACGAGAAATTCATTGGTTTCCTTTCAATTTTAAACATTTTATATTGTTTCTTATTTATTCAAAAATATATATATATACACACAAACACACACAGTACTTGAGCATTGTTGTTTCATTACTTTCTCTCAGAGAAGGTTAAGTGTCAACAAGTCTGATGAGATCCAAAAGGGAACAGAGAGTAAGTTTTCTGTGGCAACAGTTCGATGTAAATTAAAAAAGTAACATCACCCAAAACACAAATTAACTTAACAAAGTCTGGTTTTGAAGAGGTTCTTTGTTTGAATATTTCATTACATTAGTTTTAAAATGATTTATCATTTTTATTTTCCACCATTAAAATGGTAACTTTTTTTTTTATATATAAGCGAATATATTATATAAAAATTAGTCTATTATAATTTATAAAAATTATTAGAAAATGTAGAGAAAAAAGTTTTTAGAATGAAAAATGGCCACCACAACAAAAAATCCTGACTGACAAAAAGAAAAAATGCCTTCTTTTCTAGATGATATTGACAGATAATTTTTAGACTGGTAGTTTATAACAGGTGTAACAGAAATGTTTGAAAATGACCAGAAATGTCTTATGTTTATGTAACCAAATAAAAGTTTTTAATTTTTATGTTTTTTTTCTGTTGGCATTACAGACCTTATAGATCTTTTGCCACCTTAACAAGACTGCTCCATCTCTTCCTGCCTTAGGCTATTTCTTTCCAGTCATCTGCATGCAGCTCTATTGCATCTTTGTTGATTATATCTATCCATCTGCTTTTTGGCCTTCCACGTGGTCTTTTGCTTTCTATTGAGGCATTCATTGTTACGTAGAAGCTTCCACATGGATTGCTACGAGCTACATTCTCTGTCCATCTTAACCTCTATGCCTTCATATCATGAGATATAAATGGGTTCAATATTTTTTTTTTAATTACCGTTAATTAACTACTAATAAATAATAGATTTTTTAAATTTCTCTCCTGATTCTAGTTTCAATCAGCTCTTTTATGAGCTCCTTTGTTCATATCGTATTTGCTAGTAAGTAAAAAATAGTAAATCGTTTAGTACATTATAATAATAAAATATGTACAAGCAGTGAATAATAATATCCAATTCTGCATGTATACCTCTAATCTATTTCCTATTTTTATGAGTATATTAATCCAAAAATTTGTTTGTAGGATTCTGGCTTCGTACAGAGCAACAGTGACGGGAGTCTATCTGATGGAGAGAAACCATCGACATCGAATTGGAAACTAGAAGTGATACCATGCCAGTGTTCGTACACGCCCGACTGCGAATGCCCGACCGACGTCAGGTGGGGAAAGGAGCCCTGGGGTCAGGTGAACAGGGTGCGGACGTACGAGGAGAACTGGGCGGATCTCAGCCATCAGTCTTCACGTCCCCATGACATCACTGGCAAGCACATGTAAGGATTTAGTCATGTAAATTAACATTTGTTACAGGGTTGACTATCGTTATACAATGAGTTATGATATTTTTATAAACATGAGACTTTGAAGAGTATGAGTCTTCTGGGAAATTAGGTAGAAGGAAAATAAGAAACTTTTCATTAAGATATAAATAAATACTTTTATTTATTGACGTAGCTTAGATATAGATCAAAGAATTTTAATCACAAGGATAATATTTTAGGTTTTTTTTTTTTAAATTAAAGGTTTGCTTTTAAAGGAATCTATATTATGAAAATAACAAGATGCTTTGATTACAGTCAAACCTCTTTATGTTGAAAATTTCTATGTATCGATCTTTATTAAGTAACTTTTCATTAGAAGAATATATTCTGTATATTGAAAAAAAATTTCTAATATTAAAAAAAAAAAAAACGGCAGTGCAGTAGAGAGAGATTAGATAAAGTTGAAGAGAAAAAAAGTAACAGGTACGTTACAAAAAAATAATTGAGTACTTGTATGGATTTCCGCTTTTTATTTGTAGAAGAAAATTATGTTATATCAATAAAAATACAAAAAGTCCCAAACTTTTCTATTGCATATTTTCATAGATGGTCAGCGTTAAAGAAAAGTATTAGGGACAGAGCTACATCACTACATCACATTATTATCTTTCATAAATGAATGTTTACTAAATAAAGCTGAGACACTTTGATAGCATCTCGTTTAGCAGCCGTATAACGTCACACTACTGTGGTCTCAGGCTACATTTCCAGTCCCCCCACCTTACCTCTGAAATGAACTTTTATTTCAAGTTTTTAACTAAACATGAACCTTTTTCACAATTGCAATTTATTTTTTTCGCAGACTATTTATTGTTATTATTTTATGACCATTGTAAACATAAGAATCGATATTTTGTACAATGTCTATGATTTGAAGTTTTATCTTAACAGGTAAAAATTACAAAGTTGATATTAGTTCTATGTGAAAGTTTAGAAGTTGTACTCTCGAAGTTTTGTATTTATAAATTATCTTTTATCATTGGAAAATATTGTCATTATTTAAATGTCTTATTATTTGTCAAAATGAACTTACTTGAATGAGGTAAGAGTGGAATACATTAGTGGAAATCAATTACAACAGACTTGAGATTCAGATTTCAATTTTACTCCTAGCGGTAGAACTGTGATTTAATGTGTTTACTTTACTTTAGTTAATGTTTGAACGTATGATCAAACGATTGTTTATACATTTAAGCAAAATTGTTATAATATGTTATTATAGTTAATATTGAAAAAATTGTATTGCTTAAAGTAGATTACAGCTGAATTCTTATGCTGGCTTAGTAGTGTTCAGATACAAAATAGGTTTTGGATTTTCAGTTAAAATTCCATAAAATTTATGATAAGTTATAATTGGAAAAATCAAACTTCACAGCCTTATGTATCTAAAATTCAGATAAAAAACAAAACGACCCATCAAAGTTTCACCTTGTTTTTTTTGTATTGAAATTTACCACTGTATTAAATGAAAAATACAAGTAAATATGAAATTAGTAACATGACATGTACAATATATTAGAGAAACTACCCATTGGTAGCACTCCAATTATATTTGTATATTAGATGGTTGCGAGTCCATCTTCTTTTCAGATGCCTCAGAGGGTTATCAGGAATAGAAGAGGAAGCAAGGTTAGAAACAAGAGGGTTCTGATGGTTAAGAATTTTTTTATGGAAGGATAGGTATCTGAATTGAGCTAAATCGGAAACACATGCTACATTAAGGTCGTTATGGGTGATTTTATGTGTGAAAAAGTAGCATTGAGGATTTTATGAAGGATTAGATACGAGAAGAATTTGATGGAGTAGAGCCCCAAAGCTCGATCCCGTGAGTCAAAATAGGCCTTATTGTAGTAATATATATGAGTCTTTTAGAAATAGTTGGAAGTTCAGAGCATCTAGTAAGTGCTGGTCTAGGAGACCAAGTCTCGTGGTCAAAGATCTTCATGGTCTGTAGTGCCAACAGAAAGAAAGTAAGTGCAGTAGTCAAAAGCGTCGGGCTGTTTCTAGTCATTTCAGTGTGGTACGAGGATTCTAAGTGAATCGTTTGTCAAGGTGGAGTCCTAGATATCGGATTTGTTCAACAGGGATAAGTGGGGTATCATGTTTTTTATCTGCATTTAGATACATAAAGCTGTGTGGTTTGATTTTTTGGTACTTTTCTGTTATTATCCCACCAGTAAAAAAACTAAATTTTTTTGAAAATTATAATATGCTAAAATAAGAATTAAAACCATGGTGGGAACAATTATTTATTAACAAGAAGACAATCATTGTAAAAAGTAACAATATCTTTTATAATTAAGATAAATGGCTCTGATCCATCGCTCTGATTTTTTTGGTACCAGATAAATTTTGCTAAATACAAATCTAGTAAAGGTTCCAAGAATTTTCTTATTTTTCCATTTAGCAGAGCCCCACATTCGTTCTTCTTTCTGAGTACTGACAGAAGTTTCAGAGTCCACAAAATTATATTTCTGATTTACACGAAGATATTGGTATTCTTCATCTACTACTCTATTATATGCTTTCCAACTATCACTCATAATAATTGAACCGGGTTTTATTTGCTCACAAATTATTGATAATAGAGTTGCCGCACATCTGTCTTCAACAATATGAAGGAAACATTCATTGATTTGGTGACATATTCTTCCAAACACCCACTGCTCCTTTACCATTCAGAAATAAACTATTTCTATAATAAATCCTTCTCCGCCTATCATCGTACTTTCCTTCATACACTTTCAGACTCATAACCTCTCTCATGTAATTGTTGTAGTCAACAACACTGCAGTGAGCCATGTTCAGTTTCTGATCACAAATATCAATGGACTCAAGATCATGAGTCCAACAGTAAATAAAATTGATAAATGTATCCGAGGATAATTTAGACCCCTCCAACATGGACCTCGGTTTTCCCGATATTTAATTGACATAGTGGCCAAATTCACATGTTTTGCTCTCCTCAATAATGCCATGATCCTGATAAAATTTCACAGCAGATCTGTCATCATCATTTTAAACAACGCACGATTGTATTGATCTTTTTACATGTAATCGTGTGTTTTTTATGGCACATATTTAAATTATAATTTTTAAATGAAATAATTTTTTCTCTGGTGGGGCAATAACAGATAAGGTACCGATTATTCCAATTATAACCAACATCTTTTCTTCTCACACAGTTTAAGATAAATAGTTAATTAAATTGTAAATTATAATATCATTATCCACTGGGTTTTCATTTCGCTTACTCTGTATTGTATTGAATTTTTTTATGGTTGCCTTTTTCTTTTATTCTGTACGTTAAGCACTTTGTTTTTTAAGCAAGCTTTACCTATCAATTTATTTTCTGCTTTGTGTGCCCTTGCTTTTGTATTTTTATATTATTGTGTTAAATATGACTTGTGAACTAACTTCTATTGCATGTTTTCCCTCGTTAAAAATTTAAATATAAAAAACAACATTCTGTTGTTATAAGTATATCTTTTTCTTTTTTTTTATTCTAGAAGAGATTGTAAAGAAGCTTCTGAGCATATGTACCTCTTTTTTCCAATATTTCATAAATTCCTTCCCATCTTCAAGGCTATTATGAAAAACTTTAAATTCTATAACAATACCCAAAAACAAGTTACGAATTCCTGTAAAAAAGATAAATAAAAAAATCAGGTTCTAGTTCACAAGTGTCATGTTTACTTGATAGGCGAGTCAATATCCACATGTGGCGTAAAATTACTATTTAACTTTAATTATTTCAGTATATAATTTTAGTAAGAATGAAGCATGAATGATTTAAATTTTACTATAAAATTATTTTAGTCCTAAATATCGGGAAATAAAAATCATTGAACATTTGGAAAAAAAAAATTTGTGTTAATAAAACATAACAGAAGCTTCTATTGCCACCTCTTCTTATAAAATTCTTAGTTGCGGTTTATTAAAGATTAAGCTTTTCAAGTGAAACGATTATTTTTAAAAAAAATTATTTTGATGTTAGGTTTTTAAAAAGTTGAACGAGTTGCACCTTATTTACGAAAAAATGACTTGTGTCGTTTCAGAGAAGCTGAAGGTGTCGCAAGCAGCTTTTCGTCAACATGTTCGACAGCGAGTTTATTATCTAATTGGTTAGTTGATTAGTTTTATTCCAAATGATGTATAATATATGTGTGTTAATATTAAGAAGCCATAAGTATTTCTTAAAAATTATATTGTATATTTTTGTATTGTTACGAACATTTTTTCAGTTATAATAAATTAATTATATGTGTCGGACAATATATATTTATTTGATTGTTATGGTATTTGTATGCAGAAAGAGCATTATTATGCTTTGGTGAATGGATTTGGTGTGGAAATTGCTTTTGGTACAATATTGTTTTGTTTTTTTAAGCTATATACTTTATAATGGCCATGTTTAAATAATATTTTATTAAGTAAAATGTTAATGAGTAATTAGCTTGCCCTATAAGAAAATTTCTCTTAAGTCAGTTTAACAATCGAGCATTAAGATCCAGCCAGCTATCTATATTGGGTTAGTGTAGAAGAGCAGGATACTTGGTTTGTGCTTATTAACAGTGGCCTTTGATTAGAGGTTCAAGCCGTGCCTCAGAGATACATAAACAAAAATACAAAGTAATTAAATAGACTTAATCGAAAAAAAATATAAGTTACTTTCTAACTTTAATTAGTTAATAATAAGATGTAAAAATTTGAAAAACATGCAGTAAAAATGATTAAATAATTTATATACATATTTATAGTAATATCTATTTACAATTTTATGGGAACTGGGTAGATAAGAAATGATTGGACAGATGGGATTTAACAGTAAGAGGTTATTGGATTGACGGATGTAGGAAGAGATGGAGTTCCATAGGGATGAGGATCAGATAAGAACGATATAAAGAAAGCGGCGGTTTGGTTGGCCATATGTATAATTCTGACGACCATATATAATAATAAGAATATATATATATATATATATATATATATATATATATATATATATATATAGTGCTATTTTTAAATTATTAAAAACCTTAACTATAACATGGGTTTAAATATCGTATGGAAATCATAGTACCTAAATTGCTAAAAGCACAATATATTAATTTATAAATAATTTAAATAATCTTCCAATCACTTCATTTTTTTCCCCTTTTACCACATAGGTGTAATGTCACAATCCTGGATTAATTTCAGAAAATTAACTTCCAATTTCAAAGGACGTAGTTCGCTACCTGAATAGACGGTGAGGGGTGGGTTTCATTAGAAAATTGGATGCTCATGAATGGTTTAGCCTGTAAGAGTCGAATAAAGTCTTAAAAATGACATCAATTTACAATATAGCCTACTAAAATTTAGTTGCGTGTGCTTCAGCCTTAATCCTTACATTATTTTAAATTTCTTATCTTCTAGAAATTTATTACCTTTTCTTGACTCTTAAAAGTACAATTTAGCTGGCACTGCCCACCTGGCAGTTGAGTAATGCTTTAAGGGAATATAACAGATCATATTGCATTGGCACTGCTCGCCATTCTCAGTATAACATCATATTCTCAATGCTTTGTTCTGACTATTGGCAGTATGATAGTTCTTGGTTATCATATATCAGAAAAGTTTTGTCAATAACAATCATGTTGTTACGTTTAATTACCTTTTTTTTTCATTTTGTCAGACAAAGTTGAATAAAAATTATTTTAAATTTTAACAGTACTTATTATATATTCGATCTAATTGCAAAAAAAAACAATATATATATTTTTGGGGTATTCAAATATACCTAAATTCAACTTACACTAAATAAATTAAATATTGGAAACAGTTTTAATCTCATAAATAAATAAATACTCAAATTTGTACATTAAAAAATCAATATGTCTTTTTGAATTAAAATGCTTATTTAATATTCACCTAGTGATAAAACTTTATCTGTTGTGATTTCATTACAAATATGTGGTATTTATTACTGAAATGATTGTAGTAATCATAAGTAATAAATTTTTAAATAGGAGTAACGCCTTTAATGCTTAACATAATTTCATCATATTCTTTCTATCATGAGGCTGATATTTTCTATTCCAAATTTTATAAATAATCATTACTTTGTTGAAGGTGTACTCAATATGTAAATAGTATCTAGCGACGATGGACGGGAAGGGAGGAGTGGCCTTGATTGACTGCTATTCATCAATTTAGACTTTTTGTTTAGGGCATTGTTTCTAATTTTATTATTTGTTTTTTTAATCTAACTTCTTTGAATTTTTTTTTAATATAATATGAACTTAAAACCTTTATTTTAATATACAATTGAATGAGTCAAAACTAAAAACAAAAGCATTTTATGTTTCTGTCATGTTTTCTCTTAAAAAGTAATTCTGACAAGCTCTTGACTCATATGTGTCCACTGTAGTTAAATGTTATCTTGGAAAATCGATATTTCCTGATGTGATATGGCTGGATATTTAACACTTTTTGAAGTGAAAATTTCTTTTGACGTGTTTTACTCTTTTTACTGAAAAGTGAATGAGATTGTTCCGTCAGATTTCTGAAGTATTAACACTCGGCTAGGATCTACTATTTGAAATGTTTTTATATAGAGATTAAAATATCTCAGAAACTAAAAATTGGGCCTGCATACTTTGAACGAGGAAATTATTCAGCATTTCATCATTTCCGTAATAGGCTATAATTCAAAATTGTATCTTAACATGACACCATGTTAGGGAGTCGAAGACCATAGTTGAACATATGGATCCATATATTTAAGATACTAAAAAGTATACTGCAAGCGAGGGAAATGTTCAGCATTTCATCCTCTTTATAATGACCTATTATTTATACTTTATGTTTCATATTATTAATCTCGCCTTGTTAATGTTTTCATTCATATCGTGTGTTCTAAAGCACACATCTTAGTTTTTTTTACAATTTCTTATAGCTAATATCGTATGGATCCCTGTCTTGAATGAGATAAGATATATTCTTAATTGACTAACAATTTAATTTTTTTTAACCCATAATTAGATTTCTCCTGCAACTTGTTTCTTTGTATTATTTTTATTTGTTTAAAAAAGTGATTGTTAATTATATATTATTTAAACCTGAACATGATTTGCAAATTTTTCTAACAGATATGTGTCTCTTTCCAACTGCTAATTGTCTGCTATCTCTTCTATTTTCCTATTTGTATCTGCTTTTATATGTTTTTCAATTCTGTTCGAGTAAGACTGATTTCTTTTCATCTAATTTTTTCAAAATAATTTGCTTACTCGTGTCTCTGTACTTGTTAGCTAATATTGATTCTTGTGTGTAATCATTACTTTGACTTGATTTTTTAAAGTCTTCTTATGCAATCAATAGTTGATCATACTGATTAATTAAGAAGAAATCAGTCAGGATGTGCATCATAATAATTATTAAAAAAATAATATAAAACTATTTTTATTTTAAGTGTGTAGGATGGTTGATCTTATGATAATTAAAAAAGGAGATGGGCTGGGAATAACTTCAAATTATTGCTGATTATTCATTTAATGTGGATGTTTCGACACATTTTATAAATCTTCATCTCATGGCTACAGAGAAAGACACTATTTAAGGAGTAAAAAAGGTATATAGAATTAATGGTGTAAATTATTCTATGAAAGGGCAAAGATAAACTAGTTTAGTCCCCTTTTCTCTGTTTCTCAATTGATTTTTTTTTTTTTTTTTTGTTTAATAGCTATTGATGAGCTTTATTATTATCAATAGAAAAATGTTGAGAATAGTGTATAAAATTGTAAATAAAATGAAATTGAAAATATTAGTTTGTTCAAAAGTTCTTCACCGATTTCTTTTAATTTTGATGCAACATTGCATTCAAATTCAGGATTGTTTTATATGAATTTCATTACCATCCGCCCTTTCGTTTTGAAATAGTGACTGAGAAACATGTGTTGCTATAGACCAGAGGTCTATTGCATGAATCGTTTCTCCTTAGAAAGTTTATTTCAAAAATGAAGTGTCAATTGTAAAACAAATATTTGTCCTCACAAGTCATGTGGCCCGCAGTCCAAAAAGTTTGGAAACCTCTGCTATAGACTAAAGCGCCAAAATGGTTACAACGATTTTAAAAAACTTGGCCAAAGTTTTCTCCTTGAAGCCCTTTTAATTTATGTATACTTATCCAAACATGGTTTCATAATTTTATTTGTGAATAATTCAAAACACAAATGGTTCTGAACTGTTATTTGAAGTTCAAGTTTTGTATTTTAAGTGCGAATTCTCATATGTTTTCCTCAAATTACATAATTGTACTTTCTAACTTTGTACATTTATATTTATGTCAGTAATTTCATATACCTTTTTTACTCTTAAAATAATTTCACTTTCTTTGTGCCTTTCTTTTTTTAGTCCTGATGAAGATTTAGAAAGCAGGTCAAAACGTTGGCATTAAATAAATAACCGGCAATTATTTGATAATTTTTTTCTGACATACTCCTGCACCATCAACTTCTTATATTTTTATTACAGAACTTGACCATCTTAGTTGTTATTAATTTATTTGTTAATATTATAAATTTATAGTTTAATCATAATGAAATAGTAGTTTTATTAAATTGTTGTTTTTTTAGCAGCGCTAGCAGCGACACTTCATCGTATAACTCCGAATGTCAAGATGAGGTAGAAGTCGCTTTGGCTGTGATCGCCGCTGAATTAAGAATAAGCCAAGAAGCACGTGCTAAATTTAGGTAATTATCATTGGAAACTGAATTCGTAAAGGCCTTTAAATTTGGCTGAAACATGAGCACAGATATAATACAATTTTTTTTTTCCTTTCACTGTTGATGGCACTTCCTACCAACTTACATAATTAATCTACTATATTTTGTGTAATTAATCTATACTCTACTATATCTGTACCATTAGGATGTTATTAATACAATTTAAATTATTTTTTACAACTAAGACTATTTTTGTGCACATTGTGAAGTATATTGTATAAGTATGTTATATATTATATATATCTATACATATATATTTTTTTTTTTTTTCAGATCCAGTGCTGACTTAGTTCATAGGCTTTTTGTATGCATCGCCGGTGTCGCGGACCAGCTCCAGACAAATTTTGCTGGAGATCTTCGTAATATCCTCAAAGCAGTATTTCTCATACATTCCTCTGATAAGTCTGACTATCAGACTACCGACGACCCTGAAAATGGTTTGTAGCATTTTAAAATAAAATGAGGAGCTCCAGAGATCAAAGTGCATTTTCTGATCAAATTCATTTTGCGCAGGAATCATAAATTAGTTTTGAGGCGAAATCTGAAATATTATTGAACGCATCGCTTCTTGTTGCTAAGTTATAAGAGCTGTGAAGTATGTTTTGTTCACTACTCAATGTATTTTGTCCAAGTGTTCATTGTGTCCAAAAGAAATTAGCCAGCAAACCGGTAAAATGGATTTTGATCTTAAGCTCTTTAAATGAAGTTTAATTTAATTAAATTAATTGTTTGTAATATATATGTGTGTGTATATATATATATATATATATATATATATATATATATATATATATATATATTGTTGGTTAGGACTTCACTTCATTTGTAGTAGTAAAAACTCACAATAGTCCTACTTTATTTTTACTTTAGATTAGACATTTCAACCGTTAAGCCATTTTCAAGGGAAGAAGCTTTATTTTAATATAAAAATAAAATCATATGGGTTAAATTGCCTTGTCACATTAAGGTACTATTTTGCTGGTACTGCTCACCAATCAACTACTAGCATTTGAGCACTGCTTTAGTGGAACAGAAAGGGGCCTATTTCGTTGGCACTGCTCGACTGTTAGGTATGAAGTCATATCTATACTGCTTCTTTCTGACTCGTGAAGCTGATGGCAGTCCGTTGGTTCTAAGTTATGTTATATCGGGGAATCGTTTTTATGATAACAATCTTCTTGATACATTTCATTTCATTTTTTTTATCAAATCAGGCAAAATTAAATGAATAATTGTTTAAAATTTAAATGAAGTTATTATAAATAATTTTTTTTGGTTGAAGTAACAAGATTATTTTTTACACCAAAAGTATTTTATAGAGAAATTCAAATATACCTAAATCAAAACAAATTTAAATAATCCAGAAATGTTTAACTTAAGGTGAATACTCAAATCCAGAGATTTAAAAATCAATTTGCCTTATTTAATTAAAGTGCTGATTTACTGATCACCTATTGATGAAACTGTAAAACTTCTGCTATGATTACATTAAAAATACATTTAATTTATTACTAAAATGATTATAGTAATAATAAGTTATCAATTTAAAATCAAAGATACATCTTCAATTCTTTTTATCATTAAGATGATATTTTCTATTCAAATTATTAAAAGAAACCACAATTTTTTAGTAGGTGGGCATTACTATGTAGATAATAATTAAAATTTTATAGTAAAGACATGACCTAACCTTATTATTCAACTATAACTATCAGAAAAAATAGCGTGCATTAATTAAATAAGATCGAAAGCCCGCCGTCATATATATTGCTGTTCTTCTGATATAAATGAAAACAATTAAATTTAAGGCTTACATTTTTATTTTAAATTATTTCAAACTAGAATGCTAAATCAAGATGATTTGGCCGTAATGGTTTAAGCGAAATAGATCATCATTATCAAGTGGCAGTATGGAGTAGCGGTTGCTGCCATGGGCACTATCAGCGAAATAGTACCTTTACTTTTCTATAAACAAAGCTCCTCTCATAAGGTTATGTTTACTTGATATTGAAACAAATAAACATAACCTTATGAGTTGAGGTTTTTATAATAGACAAATATTGTGACAAAAGCAATTTTAGCTCTTATGATTTTATCTTTATATTAACATAAGGTTTCTTTCTTTTAAGTAACCCTAAGGGCTAAAACGCCAAGTGGAAAGTAAAATTAAAGCAGAACTATTTTTTTATTATAATCGTCTTTTTATTATTCATTTCCTTTTTTTTTTTTTTTTTTTTTTTTTTTTAATATTATATTTTATTTAAAACTAGTTTTACCCGGCCACGCGCTGATGTGGCTTAGCCTGGTAAAATGAAAAAGAAAGAAAATAGAAAGCACATATGAGTAGATTAATAGCAAAGGACATCTGTCATTTTTAAAAAGTTGGGAAACAAATTTGTCTGTAAAATGGCTTCAATTTAAACTAATTCTAATGATTTTTTTTTTCTCATGGTTCAAATTGAACATTTATAATCATCTGAGTGAATATGCCGTCATTCGTAATCATCAGAAACAGTCTGAGTTGAACTTATAAAAAATAAAAAAATAAAATAAAAAATTAATATAAAGAACCTATAATAGTACTGACCTGCATAAGGAGAATCATATAACTTCTTCAAATGATAATTTCAATTACTGTAGTAATTATAAAATTTTCGATTACTCAATAAAAAAAAAAAAAAAAAATGCTTGTCTACCTTCGGTAGTGAGGAAGCAAAAGAAAATGGCCTTTTCTGAAGAGAAAGCGGTAAATTTTTAAAACTCTATAACTCTGCAACGAACCGTCCGATTTCGATAATTTTTTTTAATTTTATTTTGTCAGCAATTCAGAAATCTTTCATATAAATATGGGTATTATTAGTTAACAATTCTGTACTTTTTTAGTTATAGTCAAATAAAATATTGAATTCATTGTAACATTTTTCAGCTTGTTTTCGGGAAAGTATGTTATACATAAATTAAAAGGATTTCAAGGGGAAGACTTTAGCCAAGTTTTGTTAAAATTGGTAAAGCCGTTTATAGCGACACATTTTTTTGCGGCTTTGAACAGAAAAACATTTACATTATTATTTTTTTTATATATATAAAAGTATCATAAGACAGAAGTACTATGCCAGAAACCTTCCCAGGAGTGTACTGAACAACTTCCCAAAGTTTCATGGCGATGGGATGAATGGTTTAGTAATGCACAAAGGACAAACAGACATACATTCATTTTTATATATATAGATTATTTAATCATTTATTTAATTGTAATTGGATGCTTGAATGAATTTTTAATTTTTATTTGTCATTGAAAATTAAATTATAATAATATAAATTCAAAAAATGTTGACATGTCAATGTTTAGCTTATACCGTTGATTTCCTAATACTTTTTAGATTAAAATAGTGTTTCTGGTATCGTAACTTCCATGATGGTTAAATGAAACCTGTCATATTTTAATACTTTTGAATATGATATGACAAATATACCTTTAACCTATGCAACTGTCATATTCCAATGAGACATGTTCGAAGATTAAAATTTGTTTTCATTCATTTATTATATTATATTATTATTATTTATATTATCTGACCGTATTATTAAGAAGTTATCTTTCATATTTAAAGTCTTTTGCTATGTTAGAATGCTGCGAGAGAGGTGAAGATGCCGTGGAGTGGGGTGAAAGAGAAACAGAAACCCCGCCGTCGTGGGTCCCGGACCAAGAAGCTCCAGCTTGCATGGCTTGCTTTGCTCAGTTCACGGTCGTCAGGAGAAGACATCACTGTAGGAATTGTGGGAAAGTAAGTTTTATTTTGTTCAATATTGTATTTCCCCTCCCCCTTTAATTTAATTTACTTTACAGATCTTTTTAAATGATTTTTTTTTTCTACTGTTGAAAATTTACTTTCTAAATTTAGAGTGTATCATTCATATATCAGACCATCATGGTTTTTGTTGTTAGGGAGCTCAATGATTACAAGATAGATATCAATAAACATTTCTCCAGACTAGGAGGGGAAAAAAAAAAAACTTGTGTGATTTGAAATCTTGAATAATTTTAACATTTGATAGCCACCTTTCTTCTCCCTAACGCATTTGAAAAATAAGTGACATCAGTGAAAAATGTTAAATCTCTTATATTCAATATATTATTAAGACGGCCTATTCAGTAGGCACTATCGTCAAAGCTTCATATTTTATCACGAACATTAAAGTGACAATTTACTTAAAGAGTGATTAGGTTGAATATCCCTCCAGTTCTATAGTTCTATTTATAATATATGAACGATAAGTTATCCCTCAACTTATATTAATATAATAGTAATCCTCAAGACCTTGTTTGGTGTAGAAGAGCCTTGGTTTATAGTTCAGTCGCTTAATAACAGTATAAAGGTATATCATTACTGAAAGTATAAAAGCCATATTTAGAAAAAAAAAATGATATATTAAATATATCTAAAAGTTTCTTTCTATATTATCTAAAGTGCCCAAGGGATCAAAGAGCCATTCTCCTCCAGTTACCTTTTCATTAGATTTTTAGTTCGCCTAAAGGTACTATTTCGCTGGTACTGTCCACTGCAGGGACCACTATTTCACATTGCAAACCGCTATTTCATAGCTATTTCACAGAAACTGCGCGCTGGCGTTGTTATAATATAACCTGCCTATAAACTTTGAACATTTCGTTATAACTTGGAAGATAAAAAAATGGACTTACTATAGCTTTTTTATTAGAAGAGGAAGAAGAAGAGGAAATGTTCATGAGAGGATCTCGGTTGTAAATCCACTTTTCCTTTCTTTTTTTTTCTAATTGGGCTTTTACTATTGTTCCTAGCAGTTTCATGAATGGGTTTAAAATTTACAATATATACATTTCTAAAAAATAATATATATTCCCTGGGCCACATGTCTTACAGGAAAAAGAATCTATACTACCATGTTATATATTAAACTAAAATAAATTCTATCATACTTACGAGGTTGAAGGTTTTTTATTGGAATATTATAATAATATATTAACAGTATTTATTTTTTATTTTTTTTTTTTTTAGTGTTTTATTTCATAAATTTATACAATATTTTTTCATTTTACAGATATTTTGCGCTCGCTGTAGTTCCAACTCTGTACCACTTCCTCGCTATGGTCACTTGAAACCCGTCCGCGTTTGTAATAGGTGCTTCATATATCAAGTTACACCTTTCACTTTAGAAGATAATATACCGACCGCAAATTGACAATACATAACGGATAATAACGCTATATAAAAGATTTCTTGTTATTTTGGTCGTTTAGTTTTTAACTCTCGATACTTTGTCTTATATTTTGTTATCGGACAAAGGCAAGGCCCGATATTCTACAGTTGATTTTCAATAGTTTTTTTTATTTTCAATAATATTTTTAAAAAATTAAAATCAAATTGTGTGTTCGACTGCCGATCGATTTCATATAGTTACTTCAGATCACTGCCTTTATTTATTAATGTAGCAGATCTTAGGTGAGTCGGTAGTTTATTTGTATTTAATATATATATGGATAAATAGCGGGTCGTTAATATTGTTAGGACTGAAGATAAAAGGAGCTGAAAATGTGATAAGTATTGCTAGTTTTTTTTATATTTACAAGTATAATAAATACATATATATTTATAGGTGTATATCGTTAAGAATAGGTTTGTAGTTTAGAATTTCAAAGTATAAGACAAAGTATGTTATTTTTTATATATAAATAAGTATATTTGTGTGTGTGAGTGTGAGAGTGTACTTGTAAATTTGAATATGTTTATTATTTTAGACACCAATAAGGATACTTGGTATGTGACTTTTTCGTCGGCATACCATCACTGTGAAATACACCAAAAATACTAATAATAATTAAATAACTTTATACAGTTATTAAAAAATGCTATTCTCAATAATATTAATATTAGATAGGTAAAGCTTAGCAAGTATTGCAATTTAATGTTAATATTCCGCTTGTTTAAATGGTTGTTGTGCATTTTTTAATATTGAATAAATTTTACATTCGACTTTAATGTTGTTTAGTATGCGAAGAGTCTGTGCTTAGGGATTAGTGGTCAATGTATATTTTGTTGAATATTTTATATAGTTTTATTAAAATTAACTCTATCACTGACTCCCTCACTACTCGACGTTGGCTTTGAACGTTATTAGTCAGATTGTTCTATCTAAGTTAATTTCATTTGCTCCACACAAGTCTGTATAATGCATTTGTAAAAAAAAAAAAAAAATGTGTATATTTGTTAAAAAGTGTTATTTGTTTAAATAATAAAGGCTTCTCTTGCTTCGGACTGTGTCCATGATATCGTAAAGCATCTATTAAAGTATTTGAAGACACAAGATCTTCAGAGCTTTTTTCCTAAGATAAAAATAATTCAAAATATTTTGCTTGAAATAATTTTGTTAAAAAAGTTTTTAAATTAGTTCGACACAATGCAGAAGAGAGTTTGAATCTTGAATTAACTCGAGCTCCAGTTATTTTTTTTTTTCTCTAAACCTATTAAAATTACATATAATTACTGTTTTGATACCATAATATTATTAATTTATTTTTGGTTTTTCATTAACAGCCAGCAAACTCTCTCCTGTTATTTTTTTGTTTTAAATAATGAAATATATTTCAACGATGCAAATTTAATTCATTCATTCTAAAAAATTCACTCATTCTCCTTGTTAAGTTTGTTGAAAAAAAAAAAAAAAATTATTCATTATCTTTTATTGTGCTTCATATTCAGTTTTACTGTACATTATATAATAAATATCAGAAGTCATATTCATATCAAATACAAAGTTGTCCATTTTTTTTATGACTTCTCAGTTTAATAATGATTTCTTTATTTTTTTTTTTGTAATAACATTTAGCCAATGAGAGTTTGCTGCACTTTATTTTTAAAATATTGCTTATGATCCTTTTGTCGTTTTTTCTATGGCACGATTCAATATTTCCTTATAAAGATACTCATGTGATCATTAACAAAATTTTATACCAGTAGTTAAAAATGGATTCATATTTCAGTATACAGGCTTATTGTTTAAGATGTATCATACCATTGTAATATAATCTAGCATTATTTTTTATATAAGTACCATAAATATTTTTTATTAATAGCCAAAATTTTTATGGTAAGGGATGTTGAAAAAAAAAAGTAATAATAATAATAAATGTATATATATTTACGAGGATATCCTCACCTCTGGCCTTGTGAAAATAGTCTTCCGAATATATATTTTTGACTATTTTATGCCTTAAGTATGCTAACATTTAAATTAAAAAAAAAAATTATATATATGTGTATACAAATATTTGATAGTAAATTAGTTTTATTACCTAAACTAATTTTTTGCAACAAAAGCTTTATTTTGAAGAATATTAATAAATTGCTTGTACTCCATGTTAAATAATTTGAGACGTGACATCACATTATCTGTACACTGGTTTAATTGTTAACATTATCTTTCTTTTATGTATATTAAACCATTACTCTCGTCAAATAACAATATAATATTGACCAAATAAGTTAAGCTTGTATGAAAACATAATTTTAAAAATTAATAAATTCTAGATTTGTATATTGATAATCCTGTTTAACCATTTTTCAGTTTTAACGTTGTTTTTTTTTTCTTACATTATCTTCTCACTACCCTTTTCCTATAGATCGATTCAATAAAACAATCATGCTTAGTTTGTTGATTATTATTTAATAGCGTATGTATGTTTCACGGAATCTCTTTCTTTCTTTTCTATCTCAACTAATCATTATTAATTTTAAAATTAATAATATTTAAAATTTTTATTTTATTTCTCTTCTTATAAACTTTTTCTTTTCTTAATATTATATAATATCTTATATAATCGATCTATAGGCAAAGTGTGGTTTGAAGATAATTCTGTTTAATTCATTTAGTAAATTTTTTTTTTTTTTTTACTTAAACAGTTGACACATTTCATTTTAGAATCGTGTTGAATAAATATTTTTACCTTTGTCCTCCAGTTTTCTTATTAAATTAAATGTGCAATTTTATCAGCGATTAGCCCCATTGAAATTTAAAAATTATAATTTTATTAAAATGATTAAACGTTGTGATTGTTATTAGAAGTTAACTCCTGAGTATTATTATATATTTTGTATTATTATAACAGTAATATTTCATTTATTTATTAATCACGAGTCAATTGTAGAGTGGAGTAAATCTTACCCAGTGTATCATGTACATATTCCCATATGTGTGAATTGTAAAAAAAAAAATTAAATTAAAAAATAATTGTATATTATATCGTTACACTCTTGTAAAGAATTTTAGTGGATCAATTTGTTACTGAAGATATTGCCCTTAATATTTAAATGCCAAAGAAATAATTATTTTCTGCACAATGTGTATTGCAAATAGTCAATATTGCCCTTATTAAATATATTCTCCATTGTTAAAATAAATAAATAATCTCATTCTGTTATATACTATTAAAGTTATTAATATATGTGTGTGTCGAAGGGAATTTGTAAATAGCATTCTCATCACTTTTGTCATTTTATATTAATGACACATTGGAAAAATATTGATATTTTTCTATTTTTGGCATTTCCTTTTAGATGTAGGTTACCATTGTTAGATATCGACATTCCAATTTTTACAGTTTGCATATGCTGTTTGTGTTGTCTGTAAATGTGTAATCATTTTAAAGAACATATAGTTTTTTTTTTATATATGTATATAATTATATGAGAATGTGTTGTTATTCTCTGTCGCACTGATGAAATATAAAAGGGCTTTTATAGTTATGTTGATGCAGTAATGTTAATATCCAGATGAATAGAATTATCACCCTAGTGACATTGTAATACCTTAGTTCTATACATTCCCAGTTATTTTCTTAAAATGGATCATGTTAAAACCTTTATTTAAAAAAAAATTAATTAAAGATAAATTCTGTTATATAATGCTATGTTGACCTATTTAATAAATAAGAATAAAAGCGCTGAAGAGTGACAATATTTTAAATGCGTCACGATGCATTTTATTTTTTAAGCAATAAAGCTTTAAACGATATCCTTCATTAAATTAAACATTTATTTTCTGTTGAATTATAGGGTCCTATAAAAAATTGTCTTCATAGATTTGGCTCCTAGAGAATTGGCAAAAATATGTTTTTTAGTTCATTTTATTTTTAGTTTGAAATAAGTAATATTTGTATTCCTGGTTGTGATGCTTTGAGTATTTGTATAATGGAAGTGATTTATTTTATATATGTGTATGTATATTTTTAAAAGTATGTATATTGTGAAAATTGTGTATGGATCTTTACTTGATAACGTATGTATAAACAAAAAAATAATAACTGTTGGGAAGTTTACCTGTTTTGTTCTTAATACATTTCTGTAAAATTTTATGCATTTTTTTTTTATTTTTAAATCGTTTACCCTTGTTTAAAAGGTATCTTTATGTTTTAATTTGTGTTTGGGGCATATATAGAAAACTGAATGTCTACTGGACCTGCAATACATGGAAAAAGTAGGAAATATAGAATTTTATGGAAAACACTGAAAGTCAAGGAATTTCACAAACTAGAGGATGCGAGGTTGACTTTTCTGTTATAATTAATTATTAATATTGATCACAATAATTTGACATAAGAGATATAGACAAATATACTTATGATGAATCAAACGTATTATGCTGTCTTTAGTGATTTTGCATGATAAACATTAATTTTATTTATTTTTATACTTACCTACCTACCCCATGGCGCTACGGCCATACAAGGGCATGTTCCTCCTCCACTTTTTTCGCCACTGCTCTCTATTCATTGCCTTTCTTTGCCATTGTCGCTACGGAGGATCTGTTCTAGGTCATCTAGCCATCTTTTCCGAGGACGTCCCCTGCTTCTACGACCTCCAGGCTTTCCTCCTAATAACTTTTTTGGAATTCTGTCCACCGCCATTCTCCCAATGTGCCCCAGCCACCTCAACTGACCACCTCCTAATTATTTGTTGTTGTTTTTCTAATTATATTCTTAAAACTAGTTATTAAGGAACCATTTTTCTAACAATAGAGGTAATTGGTTTTTTTAAATATTTTTATTCCAAAAAAGTGTTTTGGTTTTGGCTTTGTTGAATAACTTTTAAAGTCTGTATTAGAGATGTTTATTTTTTTTTAGTCAATATTTTTTATTTATGTGGCAGTGGCTGCTTAACTTTTGTTAGGTCTCTTACAATTTTATA